GAAAGTGCAAATGCATTCATAGAAAATGACACAAATTTTAATATTCTGACATCTAGTCTTGACCTTGGACTGTCACAGAGTCTAATAGATGACTTAGACATCGATATACTTGATGCAAATGGGTCAATTTCCCTAACAATATTAGGAAAAAATGAAGAAAACCAAAGCGGTATTATTTTCGAGCCTTCTTCTCATAATAATGAAGCTACAGTGCCTGTAAATGAAGTTACTAATAAGTTACAGCCAGTTAATAACATTTTTGAGGAGCCTGGAGTAAGGTCATCTTCTGAGTCCAGCACTGATGGTTCAGAATTTATTCCTGAAGAAGAAATGAATGCTATTAATTCAGACACAAGCCTAGAATCAGAGACCAATACTGAAGAAAGCGACAAGAACGAAGAAACAGTTATTGACGAGTGTCGTACTTATGGCATAAGAAAACGGAAAAAAGTTAATAAAAGGCAGACACAAAAGGTAAAACGAAACAGAGGTGAAAAATATGTGACATACAAAGGATTAGAGAAAAAAGAGAGACAAGTTAAGCCGCACACTTGCTTGATAGGGAAGTGTCCGAATAAGTGCAGAGACTTTGATGAAGAAACCAGAGCAAGCTTATTTAAAACTTTTTGGGCTTTACCTTACCAGGGACAACGCGACTTTATTGCATCTAATATAACGGTTCGAGAGGTGAAAAGACGCCGTGTTGGCAACGCAGAAAGTAGAAAAGACTTTACAAGAGGCTACTATTTACTTTTATTGAATGAAAGAGTAAAAGTTTGCCGAAAATTTTTCATGAATACCCTGGACGTTACTGATAAGCTTCTTCGGTATACAGAACTTCACCGGAATGAAATAGTCTCAATGTCTCAAGTAGATCGGAGAGGTAGACACCCACCTAAAAATAAAACTGCAGCTAATGTAAGGACTGATGTTATTAACTTTATCAAAATGCTACCGGCTGTACCCTCTCATTATTGTCGGAAACAGAGCACAAGGAAGTATTTGCCAAGCGAATTAAAAAATGTAACAAATTTGCACAGATTATACAAAACATATCAAGAAAAGGAAAATAAAACATTCGTTAGTTTAGCTGTTTTCAAAAAAATTTTTCACGATGAATTTAATATGACTTTTCATGTACCTAGGAAAGACAAGTGTGTTTTATGTGAGCAGTTTAACAGACTTATAGGCCCTCATTCGGAGGATGAAACAGAGAAGTTTACAGGCCATATTTTAGAAAAGGAACAGATGAAAATAAAATTTCTGGAGGACCAAGGATTGTCGAATTCCAAAGAAAATAATAATTGTCTTCTCTGTACATCATTCGACTTGCAGAAAGTTCTGGGAACACCACACGGTGACAATTTTTTAATTGGATTCACAAGTAGATACGCAGTCTATAATTTAACATTTTACGAAAGTGGTAACCGCAACGTTGAGTGTTTTCTCTGGGAAGAGTCCCAGGGAAAAAAAGGGGCAAATGAAGTATGCTCAATTGTTATTAAATATCTGGAATCTGTGGATGCTAGAGGTGGCATAACTGAAATATTGCTCTACTGTGATAATTGTTCTGGACAAAACAAGAACTACCAAATGATGAGCGCTCTTAATTGGTTTTTAAAAAAGTCAATAAATGTTAAAAAAATAGTACTTAATTTTCTACTTCCAGGGCATAGCTATATGCCAGTCGACTCCGTCCACGGGACAATAGAAAACAGTATTCGAAACAAAGTTGTTTGGGCTCCTTCGGAATGGTCAACAATAATCAGAAACGCTAGAGTAAAATATACACCTTATAAGGTACACACACTCAATTATAAAGACTTTCTTGACTGGAAAACACTACAAACGAAGACATTTACGAATAATTTAAGAAAAGAAGATGGATCCACCATCAAACTTAGGGATGTACGTCTAATTATGTTTGAAAAAGAGGATCCTAATTATATTCATGTATCTACGTCATCCTTCCGGAACGAAATGTCTAAAATAGCCATAAAAAAAGAGACGAGAACCTCTGTTAACCAGAACATAACCATTGGAAAAGCTTATAATGCGAGACTACCTATAGCCACAGAGAAGTATCAAGGACTGAAAAATTTATGCACAAAAAATGTAATTCCAATAGAGTATCAACACCAATATTTAACTCTACCAACCAAACCAACAGTACCTCATTGTCTAATGGAGACAGATGAAGAAGACGAGGTAAATAAAATGACCTGGTAATTTCTAAACTTATTTTTGATTTTCGATTTTCAGGTTCTAGGTGACAAGGAATAAACTCTAACGATAACTTGAAGAATACTTTTTTTATTTTGTTTTAAGAATAAGGATTTTTTTTAAAAGTTTAACTGCGATAAAATAACCAGTAAGACTGTAAGACTGTGGAGTACAAAAATAATTATTCTAGGTGATAAGAATTGAAGTTTATTTTTTACAATCTGCGATAAGATAACAAAACTAAAAATGTGTTGAATTGTAGGAATACAATTTTATTTTCAACTTTTGCTACTACAGTTTTCATTTTGTTTTCAGTTCCCATCAGGTCCCTTTCTTTACCCCTAAGCTCGCCCCTAACCTATAATTTTATAAAAGCAAAAAGGACGAACTGACAATACACAACTAGGTAGAAGGGCGAATGTTAGGGCTAATACACAACAGACTAATAAGTAATAATAGCAAAAGGACGAATTTACACATTTTTCTATTTTATTCATGGAAAAATTGGTTTATGTCGAAAAATAGCATTTGAAAGTGTTTTCCTATACTCCTTGAAGAAATATAAACCTCAAAACTTTATGTCGTTTACACAGTGTACTTAAAAATGTTTTTAGCCTCTCCTGTAAAATTACAAAAACGGCGTTTTCGCCCTTTTGCCAAAATACCATCGAAATGATGGACATTTGGGCCAGAGCAAACCAACAGATAAAATAAGAAGCCGATTTTTTGGGACGGTATACTGAAAGAAAGTCGAAAAATATTATCAAAGGGCATAGACTGTCAGGCAAGAAAAAAGTAACCTTATAAAAAAAAACCCAGGGTTTTAACAGCTAATGAGAATATAGGGATTGATTTTCTAGGCCCGTCTAGAAGAAGTCGTGGAACCCATGGAAAGACCAAGGCAGTAGTAGATACGGAGTATGTATTGAGCCGGAAAAGCCGACCTAGTAGCAAAATTACTGCTAAAAAAATATTCTTGATGCATGATGGAATGCCAAGAAATCTACTAAGCAATAAAATAATTATTCCATTCAGAAAAAGAAGAGGAACTGGAAAGGATAATGGACGGAAGAAGCCAATTCACAACTGCCTACTACTCCAATTGCAACAGTTTGACAGAAATACTTGATAAAGCAATAAAGGACATTCTATGAAATGCAACACGCAGCAGACAAAATTCGTGCAGCTATATACAATTCATCACATTCCCCTATAACACAGCACTGGACCCCACAAAGTTTAGCTTAGCTCATTTGTGCTAACTTACGCCAGAGAACCCTTGATAAGGGCTATAGCGGTAAAACATATTCAAAAGAGACACGGAGATATTTAAAAGAGACAAGGAAAGGATAAAGTGAGTTGCTCTTGATGAGAAGAACAGAAATCTAGAATTTAAAGTTGGGGACAGCGCTAAAGTATTCATTTCTATACAGGAAATTGGGAGAAGCGATCGAGAAGCTGCTTTTAAGATGGTTTGGGAATACAGGGTTCGGAGATAAATTAATGAAGCAAACTATAAGCTAGAAAAGATAGGAAATAGGAAGAATAATAAAGACACGGTTCACTTGAGTGAGCTGTTATACTTCTACGATGAAGAAGAAGTTGCTGAGGAGAAAAATGCAGACAGTGGAGCCGAAAATGATATTTACACAATATTTATGTAAATATGTAATTGTATCTTTCTGCTCAGGTCCTTCGAATTAAACAGTTCATTTTTTACCGTCTATAGACACCGCCTTTATTTTCTTAAACGTTGATACTGATCAAATAATGTACCTACCTCTATTGCAATAATTATAATTACAAAAACCTATATACTTACAAACAAATCTATATTTATCTGGGTCAGGTATCATATATCCGACCAAATACTTTCAAATTATATTTTGGATATACCTACCGTACAAAAAAATGAGAGGGGAGTCACTAGCACTATATGGCAACAATAATTATATAAATAGATGAAATAAAAAAATGTTAAATCATAAGTAGTTGAATTTGCTTATTACAAACATGTTTTCCAAAGTAAGTAGATCACACTTTAGTATATCTATAATTATTGTTCAAATAAAATAGGACCAAGTGCTATTTAAATTGAAATTATAAAATACATTCTTCTGAAATAAAGTTGACATCTTAGATTTTAGTATGCACATGATTGTAAGATTTTTAATACAAATGCTGTCATTGGGTACATCAACTCAATTTAAAAATTAACACAAATAATAATTTATTCTAAAATTTAGCAGGGGGTATTAAGGCCCACGTACTATAATCTAAATATCATTCTTACTACCTATTACTGTTGGCCCAATGGTCAACTTGATAATCAATTATGAAAATATGATGTTATTACGTAGGCTAATTATAAATTGGTACAACTTAGGGTTCTAGAGAAGGGGAAATTTTATATTTGTAATCAAAGGCAATGATCAACTATAAATAATTTCAATTCACCCCATACTGAATTTGAGTTTTATGTATCATTGTATCTCCTAATAATTTCAATAAAAGCGTTCGAATTGGAAAAGTATGGAGCCTATAAAAGTGATAGTTAGGTAATGTTCTCTTAGAACAAGCTGTTAACTAATGGATTGTGTAGTATTTTTCACGAAGTGGGTACATGTGAAGAAAACCACAAACTATTTTCTGTAAATAAAGTAAAAGCCATTATTTTCTAGATTCTTGCCATCACCACTTTTATCGCCGTCGCCCAGGCCGGCCTCATTGACTATTCTCACGGAAGTCACGGACATGCTTCTTCCTATTCATCCGTATCTGCTCCAGTAGTTGCACATGCAGCCCCAGTATATGGTCATGCTTCCCCAGTTCTACACGCCGCTCCAGTCGTCGCCAAATACGTAGCCCCATCCTATTCTCATGGATACGCTCCAGCACACGAACACCAAGACTATTACGCAGAACCAAAATACGAATACAACTATGGAGTTCAAGATCCTCATACCGGTGACCACAAAACTCAACACGAAGTTCGCGATGGTGACGTAGTCAAGGGATCTTACACTGTAGCTGAACCCGATGGTACTCTCAGAACTGTTCACTATACCGCTGATGACCACAACGGTTTCAACGCAGTCGTAGAAAAATCTGGACACCCCGTGCACCCAGCTCCAGCTGCCGCTAAAGTTGTAGTAGCTGCCCCAGCCCACTATGCTGCCCCTGCTCATTATGCTTCCCCAGCTCACTATGCTGCCTCCGCTCACTACGCTTCCCCAGCTCACTATTCTGCTCCAGCTGCGTACTCTGCACCTCAATACTACCATCATTAAGTAACTGAAAACAGGTGCCATTATGTAAATATTACACTACCTAAATTATTGCCTTTTGTTCTTACCTAATTATAAGAGAAAAATTTATAATTATGTGAAATGTGATTATCTTATTATTAATTTACAATTATTGCAATTTTGTTTTTTTTTTTGTCTATAAGTCCCTAAAGTGCACTTATGTTATGCTATCGGAAGAGTACATTTGCTTCACCAATTCAACAACCAACCTATGTTATTAGAGATATACTTCATCTCATCAAAAATATTGGAATATCTAATGCGATGTCTGGGATTGAACTAAAAACAATTCCTATTAAGGCCGCAACAACGATGAGAATGCAATGCAACTTTTTAGTACATCCGTTGTTTTGTTGTTTTCCTTGAAGGTATTTAATTTGGGTACTAGTGGTATTCTAAATAATTTATATACTCCTGATCGCATATCCATAGAGCCTCAGGGCGACCACTGCCACGAAGCTGTATATTGAACTGGTTGGTGCGCAAAGGGGTATAATATTACTACTAGTAATATAAATAACTATTATCGGTCAGCTGTTTCGGAGGAGATAAATTCAATGGCCATGAAAACAGTAGTTACCTACGGTAAAGAAAGGTCAAGTAAAACAAATTTTAAGTATGCTCAGGAAAGTTTTTACGGCAACGTGGGCAAGTTAACACTAAATACAAGCCTGCTATGATTATCTCATTGGGGAGCAGCGTAACCGAGTTCGAGCTGGCATATAATATTTCAAACATGTAAATTGATATCTACCTGTATCACAGAATATTTTCTGTGCCTGTATATTTATCCACACGGAATAAATTATTGTAAGTTATTGTTTTTTTTTCAGTCATAAAGAATACAGAAGCAAAAGTATCAAAAACTACCTCTCTTAACATACATTCAAAAGGTTGGGAAGAACATTTTATCAGTCCAGTGCAATGTGCAAGAAAAGCCAGGCTTATATAATATAGCCTTGCCCTTGCTACAAAAAACAAATGCCAAAGAGCAAAGAAAAAGTTAATGTGTATCAACCTAGTGGCTCAGGAGCCATGCCTTTACCTGATCCAGGGTTTAGGCATTACCACCTAATAAAATTCATAGATGACGGGAAAAGTCAACAGATGTAGGTTTTGAATCATTCCTGGTTTTTAATGTATTTTAGGTAAGATTTATTATTTTATTCAGGACAATTTCGTCTGTGGCCACAACTCCCACCAGCCCCCATTAAAATTGCGATACCAGGTATATCTGGCACGACATCCAGCTCAAACACAGCAATAGCGTACCCGAATGACTTGTTTAGCCCTAGCGGTGGCCCTACATTGGAAAGTGAGTGAATATTCTGAATTCCACATTAAGGTGATAGCAATAAAGCTATTTGACAGTAAATAGTAGTTAAATAATTATTTTACTTACCTAGTTATTTAAAATTAAAAAAAAAACCCTTTCATATGAGAAGCAAACACAAAAACTTCTTTACACTTGAAATCTTATAAATATATTCGTTGTACATTATGCTTAAAAATTTAAAATTCACATGACCAGCTTCAATTGGCCATAAAGCATATGTGTTGTTGTTACCATTTTCTGTGGTTAGTATCGGGTCTTCAAAAAAAAAAAAAAACAATTAAAGATTGCTATGGTTTTCTAAATGTATGTCTTAGCAATATTTTTCTTTACTTTTGTCAATGAACTTTAATATCAAAATGCCATGTCAAAAATCCTGACCAATAAAAAAACAATAATGCGACGTACGTTCTCATTATCAAAGCAATCTTTGATTGTTTTTTTGAAGTCCGTTACAAAAGCAGTGTGTATTTATTTTTTGTTTGAAGAGAAAAGAAAAGAAGAAAAAGAAAGCCAGATTTTGGAAGCATTTTCTAGCTCAAAATTCCAAGGCTTGGGTATGGTTGATGGCTTTCCAATGAGAATCGGGGAGACCCTGAGCAAAATGTCATACAGAGAGTGGGCTTGTTTAGAAATTAAGTTTATGGAGCTGATTCAAAAGAGACAGAGGAAACGCTGTATAATTGAATGCATTGGTAATTCCTTTTCATGTCATCAGAATAAATCTATTTTCAATTAATACTAAGATCAGGAAAATTTCGTGGCTCGAACTATATATTGATGAAAATTATTTGTGGGGATACGGCCAATAAAAAAGTAAGACTCTTTTTTCTTGTAAAGCTTTCGAAGTATTTAACTTCTTCTTCAGTACAACTATAAAAAAAAAATATATAATAGAAAACAATATAAAAACGATGGGTACTTACAAAAGTGAGTTCAAAATATGTTCTTACAATAGAATTATTGTAGAAATATTCTTAAAAATGGTCATGATATAAAAAATTGTATAATTATCTTGTTGAATAAAACACATTTTTAAAAAACATCTCTTAGATAAATTCTGTTCAGTTGTTAAAACAATAGAATTATCAAAGTCTATAGGATATCCAGTTTCGTTCACATGTTTCGATAGTGCACCAAGCATCAGGTCTCAAACGTATATCACTTTTATGTGAGATTATTCTAGATTTTAGATTTCTTGATGTTTGTCCAACATATTTTTTTTCACAGCCCAAACAATTAATCTTATAAACAACATTAGATTTATGCTGTGTCGGTGTTTTCTCTTTTAATTTATAAGAAATGTTATTAACAGTTTCTATAGTTTTATTAGCGAGAACTATATTATTCGATTTAATGACATTGGATATCTGTTGTGTTAATTTTTTGATACAGTTTTTCCTGCTTAAGGACTGACCACCCTTCCAAAACTTTTATTTTTCAACCGATTCAATTCATTTTTTTTTGTCTTATGTCTACTCGAATTTGGCACTTATTTGGCTCATAATTTTATTTCTGCGGCTGTACTGGTGCACAGTGTGTCCACACTTATAGGCATTAATTTCAATAAGTACTATTAGGGATTTTTTTAGAAAAAATCTGGTAGCAGATTCTTATTTAGAATGGTCTCAAACCCAACTGTACAAATTTTTGTTTCAATAAGATACAGGGTGATGACAACAGATTTTCACAATTTAATGAATCAAACCGCAGAAATGTTATATTTTGAGACACACTTACTACAAATTTTGGTTGAGGATGTGCTAAAACTATGTTGTATCAAGTTTTGTTGTTCTCAAGGCCTCAAAATATGACATTTTTCCGGTTTGGTCAATTAAATTTTGAAAATTTGTTGTGATCACCTTGTATCAAATCGGAACAAAGATTAGTCTATTTGGGTTTTAGACCATTCTAAACAAGAATCTGCTATGAGATTTTTTCTAAAAAAATCCCTAATAGTACAGAAATTTGTGCCTATAAATGTGGACACCCTGTACACCAGTACAGCCGCAAAAATAAAATAATGAGCCAAATAAGTGCCAAATTCGAGTAGATATAGGACAAAAAAAAATGCATTGAATTGGTCGAAAAATAAAAATTTTAGAAGGGTGGTCAGTCCTTAAGTGGGACACACTGTATACACTGAAAAAAAAGGTACACAAATTAACGAAAAAGTGCATTAGGCCAGTGAATCTCGTCATTAATATTGAGCCGGTGGACGAATTTGTTAATATTATAAAAAGCTGTTCGTTAAATAGATGAAAAAAAGGTTCATTGATTTAACGGTTGAATTCATTGTCGCAGAGAAAGGATTCTATCATTTTGACGTATAGAATTCGTTGCCTGAGTGACATAACTTCTTCAATATAATGTACAAATAACATTGGTTTAATGAATCGAATCGAATTTTCAATTTAATGTATGCGGTTTCATTGGCTTAACGTATGAATGCATTATCCTAGGCTCAGTTGCATGAACAAGAATATTCATATGATGGGTTCGATTCAAGTTGACCCGAGCTGGACTGTGATTAAACCCTCAAATTTATTAGGCATGTTGAATCATCATCATCATCATAGGCAATCACTCGATACCGAGTATGAGATTATCTTCTATTCTATTCTTCGTCGTTTGTGCGTGTTCTGATGGCTATATAAACCAATTCTGGAGCCGCACACTCTTCCACAGTCTTGGCCCACATAGTCTCTGACAGCATTGTCTCTTCCTCTGATCTCTCGCTCCTTTTCGTTCTCGTGTCTGCGTCACTGTTTTTCAAAAGTTTGTGGCACATCGTGGACTACTCGACTCCACGAGGGCCTATCATTTGTCCTCGACTCCCAGTTGCTGATATCGATGTGGCACTTTGCCAAAATTTCCTTTAGCTGACTGTAGAGAATCTGTCGTAAAAGACATGTTTCGGGCATGCGAACAAGGTGACCTGTTAAGCGAAGTTAGTGCTTGATGATAATGGCTTCCAAGTTATTTGGGTTGGCCTCCTCTAAAACACTAATGTTCGTTCGTCGGTCTGGCCATTTAATACGTAGGATCCTTCTTAGGTATCGCTGGTGGTACTTTTCTAGGCTTTTTATTTGTTTTCTGTAGGTGGTCCATGTTTCGCAGTTATTTATGTAAGTGTTGGTATTTCAACTGTATTGTAGACACGAAGTTTGATCTCAGCGCTGATGTCGTGACTGTTGCAAACTCTGTCTAAATGTCGCCCAAACGCCGCGCTAGTACACATCAAGCAATGTTGAATTTCAGCGTCAATGGTTACCTTCACTGACAGATGGTTCACGAGTAGTGTCCCACGTTCTACAATGTTTCCTGTACACTATAAATTATGAAGTTATTCCACTCAATGAATACCTGAATTATGAAATTCTTCCAAAAAGAGTTGAATTTAACACCAACACAGAATATAATTTCCGGATAAATTACGATATACTGTCGATAACATGGAGTGCGGGTGTGTTTAATGAATTCTATACGTTAGCATGACGAATAGGTTTATATCAAAACTATAAAATTCATTAAATTAATGAGTAAAGTTCGGTAGTTATAAAAGTCCATTAAATCACTAATACATACGTCAAGCTGATGAAACATATTCATTAATTAATGAACTCTTGGTCATTGATTCGATGCA